GTACTAAATTAAAATTAAAACTCTGTTCATTAAGCCATATGATCAAGAGAGTGAAACTAAGGAGAAGAAAGTTTTACTAGACATGTATGACATGTCCAGAATTTCTAAAGAACTACTAAACAGCAATAAGGAAAAGACAGACAACCCAAAAGAAAAATGAGCAAAGATTTGAACAGGTGATCACAAAAGGATATCCAAATAAACACCGAAAGGTTTCCAGATAGTAGTCATCATGGAATGCAAATTAAAGCCACAACATTGTATCACTACATCCTAAATCAAAAGGTATATAGTAGCTTATGTGGACAGACATGGAGCAATTGACCTTTCATACATTCCAGGTGGGTGTACAAATTGATACAATTGCTTTAGAAAACCATTGACTAAAGCTGAATATAAGGGAACCCCATGATCCAGGAATGCCAGTACTGGGTGTGTATACCCAAGAGAAACACATACAGATGTTCTTCGCATTATGTTTGTAATCGCCAAAAACTACAAACGATCCAAATGTCCACCAGCAGTAGAATGGATACAGTGTGGAATTTACACAGTATATACAATACTTTTTCACATAAACTACAATCAACTACAACTACATGTAACAATATTTGTAAATATCACAAGCATAATATTAAGTAAAAGAAACCAGATACAAAGGGTACATACTGCATCATTCTATTTATGTGACATTCAAAAACACTAAACTAATTAACTAAACTAATCTATAGTGTTAGAATTCAGGATTACTGATTATCCTTGGCAGGGAGTCCCTGAAAAAGAGGGAAAAAGTAACTTCAGGGGTTGTAGTAATGATCTGTTTCTTTTAACATAGCTAGTGATTATATTGGTGGGTTCACTTTATGAAAATTCACCAAGGCATACCTTTTCGTATGTATGTTAAACCTTAGTTAAAAATTACTTTAGATATAGTTATATACGCATGGTGTGTGTGACATATATATACACACATACATGCACACCCATATGTAAATGTATCTATTTATGCACACACATCCACATATTCCATCCAAAATGTAACTACTCCTGACTTCCTCTTCTCTCCAGTCCAAGACTACTGCAAAACTGTTTACCCAGCTCCTCTGTTGCATCCCTGAAATATTCCCCTGTAGCCAGAATAATTTTAAAAACAGAAGCCAGGTCCTATCTGTCCTTGGCTCATCACTAGTAATAACTTCACATGTCAATCAGAATAAAATCCTCAGAGGAGACGTGCACCTCTGACAGCTTATATAAAATAGCCTCACTACCCACACCTGTCACTTTTATCCCTTTACCTTGCTTTATTTTTCTCTATAGTTCTTATTACCAACAGACATACCATTTAGTGGGTTACTTATTTATAATAATTGGTCTCTCCACCACTTCTGTATAAGCTACATGAGAGCAGGGACTTTATCTTTCTGCTTTATATCCCTAACATCTAAAACAGTGCCTGGCAAAAAGTACACAATGAACGAATGAGACCATCACCCAAGATCATAGGAAACAGGCAGGATGTATATGTTTAGCCTTCTTTTTATTAGGAAACTAAAAGAATGAAATTACATTAGGAAACAAAAAAAATGAAATTACTTACTCGATATTTTCAGGAGTACAGCCCGGGTCGTCTTTTTCTATCCCTCCCTCCCCCACTTCTTATTTCTCCCTCTCCTTCACCTCCCGCATATCCACCCAGGCACACATACATGCACACACAGGCATAGGTACAAGGGCAATGGAATAAGGACAGTTCTTTTAATGTAAACGGCCGCGTTCAGTACAATTTGTAGCCACTTTACTCACAGCATAGTCATAAAGTATATTCAATATTATATGTACATGTGTGTATAGTAGAATCCTAATGCTTCAGTGTTAAATTAGGACACCATCCAGGGAAAGGTTTTCATTACATTGAATTGGGCATTTTTATCTGAAACTTGCTTTTTAGATGGATGGCATATGATAGTACATGATATACATGATAGTAAAAAAACAAACAAACAAAAAAACCTATCATTTTTCTTGCCAAATATATATATATAGATAGATAGATATAGATATAGATATAGATATAGATATAGATATAGATATAGATATAGATATAGATATAGATATAGATATAGATATAGATAGGACCTAGGGATGTTCCCTTTGGCATTTGCATAAGAAAAACTATGAAGCAAAATCAGAATGTTTTGTTAGGTCTTGCAACAATCAAAACTTCTAAGGCTCTGAAGATGCATGTTTTTGTAAGTAAACATGTCCAGAAATTGAGATTGTTTCAGTCCATCTCACCTCCCTGTTCTCAGAATGAATTGTAGAGCCCCCAGAGCAGACAAGGGTGTTTAAGGTTAATTTCTGTTTCTATATAGATATCAATTACCTTTTCAAAGGGCTCCCCGGTGGGAGCTGCCACTTGACAGCTTGTCTAAAAACTAGCTAAATGGGCAAATGTGCCTGTCGGGGGAGGGGAAGGTCCAGCTTGGTTGTCAACTTAGTTGACCCTTCACTTTTGGTTTAAAGGGGGAAAAAAAAAAAGGAGAGTTTTAGGCCCTTTGAGTTACTAAATAGCTGACTATACAGTTTTGTTGGTTTGTTTTTTAATTGGAAAAAAATGGGAAACGTAGTAAGATCCCAGTATGTGCTTAACTGCGAGTATGATCCTTCTTCACCTCTTCTCTCTTGGAAAGCAGTTAAGCCTGATATCAAGCCATAACTTTAAAAGCAGATTGAACACAAAAATGAAGCCCAAGATGCATTGAGTGTAATGAGGCCAATGTCAGGAGAGCATTTGTCCATCGAGTAGTTATATCTTTTAATAAGCAGAAAATGATAATTAAAGGTGGTGATGGCTTATACTTCCAGTGAGTGCAAAATAGTCACTAATGTCTAAGAAGAAAGTAATGCCAAAGTTCCTTTTGAAACTCAGACTTACAGACCACGAAGGAATAGTATGAATTAATGAGTACCTGTGCATGACTCCAATGCCAGAATTGTGGCTTCGTCTTGATCCCACGAGTTGGACGCTGTGTAACCTAGGGCAAGTTCCCTAATCACTCTGAATCTCAGCTTCCTAGGGATATAAAATGAGAATGGTAAAAACACCTACCTTGCAGGGCTTTTGTGAAATTAAATGAGGTCTTAGTTCTAAAAATATTTCGTAGCCAAGAATATGTTTTGATCATGTATAGGATTATTACTGTGCTTAAATAATTCATTGAATACCTGCTAGCCTTTACTCAACCTCTTAAAGTCATTTTTCTAAGATTTAGCTAACGTTAGCTGTCATCCTTGAGGTCTGCCTATCCCTACTGTTTTAGGTTAGGATATTTTAGGATAGTTTTTACTAGGTTAATGAAAATTTTTCATATCTTCCATTTCTGAATCAGCCTGCCTAAAACCTTCAGACTAGAACTATGGCCTTCTCTGAGATGCAAATTATTAACACTGTACATATGTGAACGAGCAGTTCCCTGACAGCCTTTAGGGTCGGAAGATTGGAGATAGAGATTAAAAAGTAAAGGAAATCTCTTCCTTCTCCACCCCAGGATGGAGCATTTTCCTAAATAATTTTCTCTCTATAATAGAAAACGCGCCTATCTGATGAACACTTATCCTATGCCAAGCACTGTGATATGCATTATTCATGTAATGTTCCCAATATACTAATACATCTTGTACTAGCGTTACCACTTATAGACAGGAACACTACAACTAGAATCATTAAGTAACTTGACCAACGTCACATACCTAGTAAGGGGCAGAGTCAAGATTTGAACCCAAACCTGCCTAATTTGTTTCCCAGACTTTTTTCCATTTGTTCATTATTTACCTCCTACATTTTAACTAAACTTTGCATGTCTGTGTTTGTCTTTCTTTACCCTTTTTTTTTTCTTCTTTATCGATTTGAGAGAGAGGAAGTGAGAGGGAGAGAGATAGCAACATCGATGAGAGAGAACATCGATTGGCCACCTCCTACATGCCCCACACTGGGGATCAGACCCATAACCTGGGCACGTGTCCTGACTGGGAATCGAACCTGCAGCCTCTTGGTGCATGGGTCGACGCTCAACCACTGAGCCACACTGGTCAGACTGTCTTTTTTTACCTTTATTCTTTCACCCTTGGTTTGCCTATAATGAGTAGGGTAGAGGCCTGTTACAAAGGTGACTAAGGTGTGGTCCCTGTACTTAAGGAATTGTTATAATCCACTGTCAGGAAGGTGACAAGCCAACAAATGTCATAACATGGGAGGATTTAAGAGATCCATCAGGCTGCCCTGGCCGGTTTGACTCAGCAGTTAGAGCGTCGGCCCGTGGATCAGAGAGTCCAGTTTGGTTCCCGCTAAGGACGCATACCTCAGTTGCAGTTTGTCCCCACCCCGGTTGGGGTCGTGTGGGTGGCAACCAGTTGATGTGTCTCTCTCACATGGATGTTTCTCTCTCTCTCTCTCTCTCTTCCCTCCTCTCTCCTTCCCGCTCTATCTGAAGATAAATGCAAAAATGTCCTTGGGTGAGGATTTAAAAAGAAAAAAAAGAGGTTCATGAAGGAGAGAGCATCGGTCACCTGGGAATAATACTCTCCCTTATACAGCAGTTGTTAGGATGGAGTGAAATGCTCATGTCAAGTGTTTGGCAAAGACCCTGACTCATAGTAAGTATTCAGTATAGTGAATCTATAATGTTGCCAGATGGTCCCAGGATAATAACTAGGATACAAAGCTTGAAAAGCAATTCGGTGCCAAACTCTGAGAGCCTAGAATGCCAGTCTAAGATGTTTGGACCTCTAGCTTGGTAAAAACAATTGTGCCAAGGTCAGTACTCATTCCGAAAAGAAATGAAAGCTGATGCTACTTCACATTACCTTTCAAAATTCATCGTAAGTGAGATGGAATTGGTGGGAACAGTTGGAACTGGTTTAAAGGACTTTTGTATTTGATGTACTAAAAGGAAAGATGATATTTTCAAGTTTGATGCCCTATACTTTTTCTTCCACAGTAATTAGCAAATGCCAAAGGCAGCAACTGGAGTCTGTGAGCTACTCCTCTCGCTACGCTCTGGGCCTCTTTTATGAAGCTGGCACGAAGATTGATGTCCCTTGGGCCGGGCAGTACATCACCAGTAATCCCTGCATACGCTTCATCTCCATGGATAATAAGAAACGCAATATAGGTCAGTACCCCCATTATTTCCCTTAAATACAGTAACAATGGTGGGTGTAGATCGTGAAAAATGCTGTTTAATTGAGTGTTGCCATTCTGCACAGAGCAAGCATTTAACTCCAAGCCACAGGGGATAAAATTTAATGTCACATTTGGCCAATAATACAATGCACAGTGAAACCAGCAAAGTTTTTCAGAAGATCACTTATAACATGGTTTGTGTTACTGAGTTTATGAAAATAGTGTCAGAGGTTTAAGATTTCAAAATGGCCCATGTTCCTTGGCTTTAATATGGATTCGTCTATATGCAAATGTATTTCTCGTTACTTGTTTCTTGGTGGAGTTTGTTTTTTTGTTGGTTTGGTTTTGTTTTTAAAATTTGATAAGTGCTGCTCTTGTTTCTACTTCCCAGGCTAGAAAAAAAGAGGTGAATTTTACGATGTTATGAAAATCCTCCATTTTAATCTAATTATACTTATTTAATTTTCTTCTGGGAGACTACATAAAATTACCTTGTATATAATGTAACTAAATGATAGGTAAAATGTTTCATAAGAGCTTTACTAGAATGGGATAAAATCTGCACTCCGCCCTTTTTGTTGAGGATAGTTATAAAAATTAGACTTGAGTTGCAAGAATAAACATAACTGATTCATTTCAGGCATGAAGGTGAAAGCGTATTCTTCTTTGTAGGATTGTGGTGATTCCTGAGATACTGCTTTCTGTGGACTACAGTAATAATCTAAAATCATGAAATTCTTGAAAGGGATCGTCATTTCAGCCTGTTATGGTGTTTTATGATGCAGTGATGGTTTCAGTGAGCCATTAGTTAGAAGTCTTGCTTGATAAAATCACCATCTAACGTCTCGTGGCTTGCCAGAACTTTATAATGATAGAACTGAGCTGGAGCATGGTTTTATATCAGGGCACATGATCTTAGAAAAATGTTTCTTTTATAACTTAAAACTCCCTCAGGGCTGGACTGTTTATGTTAACATGATACCACATATATGTACAATCAGCAGTTCATGAAATGCCCTGTAACAGCAATAGGCCAACCATTTTTAACTCTACAACTTCTTTGTTCTAAGAAAGAGAAAATAGCCCTTGATCTTCTCGTGTTATATGTCATGAATTAGACACTATCCTTTGTATATTGTTTCAAAAGACATGGTATCTGTTAGGACGTATTCAGTAGTGTATAACAGCAAAAAATTTAAACTTGTTTAATTTAAACAACATAAGGACATTTGTTATATTATCTCCTATGGACTGAATTTGTTTCCTCCCAAAATTCATATGTTGAAGCTTTAACCCCCAATGTTATTATATTTGGAGATAAGGCTTTTAGGAGGTAATTAAGGTTAAGTGAGGTCATAAGAGCACAATCTTAATCCAGTAGGATTGGCGGCCTTATAATCGAGGAAGAGAGAGCTCTCTGTCCACCCTCGTGTACTTGCCGAGGCAAGGCCGAGGGAGATGTTACAAGGTGGGAAGGTTAGCTGTCTGCAGGCCAGGAATGGAGTCCTCACAGGAACCAAATCAGCAGGTGCCTTCATCATGCACTTCCCAGCCTCCAGAACTGAGGTTTTATTTCTGGGGTTAAGCCACCAGTCTCTGGTTATTTTGTTATGACAGCCAAGCTTACTGACACATTATCTAAGAGGAAGAAGTTGGGGAGATTTCAGGATTGGTTGATTCAAGAACTGAGCAATATCTTCAAGGACCTAGGATTTAGCCCTTTCTGCTCTCTCTTCTACTCTTGATGTTGACATCCTCAGAGGACTGGTAGCAAGATGACAGTAACTTCTAGAGTCACATCCAGACCCAATGTCATGCTTAGTAAGAAGAAGAATTATTAATGTATCTGTTCCTTTCTGAGAGTCCAGGAAGTCTTTCCAGAAACCCCTCAGCTGCCTTCATCAAGTACCTCGTAGGTCAGAATTGGATCACTTGACCAGTCCGAAATGAATCACTGCCAAGGGGGCTGGGCTATTGTGATAACCCTAGACAAATTAAGATTTACTCCTGAAACTGGTAATAAGATAATCTTCTCTTTAGTCATATGAAGGGTAGATACCTGAAGAAAATTGGGTGTTTTTCTTTAGAAAGAAAGAACAGAGTGGTGAATGTTGGGTTGGCAACAAATAATGCCTATTATTTTCAAGTAGAGTTACATCCTGTGTGGGAGGTAAGTTTCTAAAGTTGGCACATAAAGAGAAGAACCATGTATATTCAAAATTATCTTTGAAAATCCCTTAAAACGACATGATATTTTGAAGAATGATGTAACTTGCAGTCAATTCAGTATTTTTTCAACATACAATAGATTTCAGTTTCTTTGGGTGAGGCCTGATGAAATACTTGCTTTGCATTTATAGGGCAGAGCAATATTTTCTACTATAAAAGGGACACAGAAAAGAGAAAAATAGCAGTCATACTTCCTAACAGGATGAATTCTCTGTGCAAATGGCGTTGGTAGGTGGATGAAAGCACCAACATGACACAAAGCAGCAGCAATTTATAAAATCAGAGTTATGAGAACTTGAAGTAGCGTAGCATAAAAATATTAATAAATTCTCACGTGATCAGCAGCATTTGAAATGATCAAAATACAATGTTTCTGATGTTAACAATTGCAGTTTTAAAGGTGGAGGGCCATGTCAGTGGTGAGCCACATTTTTTGCGTCAGCTCATGGTGGCGTGACTTCAGACAGCAAACAAATACTTGGATTTCTGTGTCAGTTTTATGAAAAATTAATCGTGGATTATGCAAGTTTTAAATTATAAGAGGCCTCCAGTAATGGCACTCCCTAACATACAATCAAACTGCCTTGCGTTTAAACTATTTTTTCTTACTACCTAGGGGAGGATGCAAAGTGTGTCTAGGTGAATCCACACAGTATAAATGTCCACATACTGTATTTTCTTGATATTGATATTTAACTAGACCAATAAGAGGTGTCTCTTTAAGTCACTAACACTATCCCACATCCACCCTTCATTTGGGGTGTTTGATTGAATCAAGAATTGATATTATATCCCTGGCCGGTTTGGCTCAGTGGTTAGAGCGTCGGCCTGCGGTCCAGAGAGACCCAGGTTTGGTTCCCGCTAAGGGCATGTACCTCAGTTGCAGTTTGTCCCCGGCCCTGGTTGGGTCGTGTGGGTGGTGACCACTATATGTGTCCCCGTCACATCGATGTTTCTCCCTCCCTCTCTCTCTCTCTCTCTCTCTCTCTCTCTCTCTCTCCCCCCCTCCCTCCCTCCCTCCCACTCTATTTGAACAAAACATTGAAAAAAAAAAAGAATTGATATTATAATACACACACTCAACTAATAAAGGGGAGCATTTGTCTTCTGTCAAGGTGGGTCAGCAACAAGATAGACAAAGGCTGGCAGGGTTGAGTCTACAAACTACAGTCTTGAAGAGAAATGGGATAAAGGATTAGTGGCCCACACCAGACAAGGGTCAAAGAGTATCATTTGTCAGATGTCAGGAATAGGCAATACATGCAGGAAGCCATAACAAGAACTAAAGTCTCCTTAGGCAGAGGGGCTAACTTCTAAGATGTACTAGACCCAGCTTCAAGCACCAATAGTTATGAGTATGACCCAATACCCTTAGGTTTCTATTTCCCAAAATGTGTTCAATGGAACACCAGTTCCTTGAGATGCTCTTTGGGAAGGGTCTTTGTTGTCAAATAAGTCTGCAAAATGCTATTGACCCTGCCTCTAAAGTGTTGAGGATAAAATGGTTTAAACATATAAAGGGCTTCACATGGCACTTAGCAATAATAAGTCAGTGTCTATGGTACCTATTATTATAATTAATAATTCCAGTCTTTAATTTGGACACTATATTCTCTAAAGCGAAGGACATAAATATATAAACCTAATTTAGGTGACTGAAACCCTTTGTCATTAGTGCAGATGGGAGTCAGAGTGGTTAAATGAAATGTATAATGTACCCTGATAATGGGTGGTCAGAACTGAGCATCCTTTCCTGTTTACCAGCTGAAGAGTGTTAATAATCAGTAAAAAAAAAAAAATCAATAGGCAGCAATCTGAAGAGATTAATACAATATGCAGCTCTAGAAATATGATGACCAGTCACCATTACATAGCTTTCAATATCTCGTCAAAGGAAATAAGCCAATCCATCCAAAAAGAAAACAAACAAATGAACAAACTTTTTCATCACATGGAATTTATACTTGCAAGACTTTATTGCTAGGATCCTTGGGTAACAAACACTAATATAACATGTAATATAACAAACACTAATATAACAAACAGCTTAAATAGCTGTTTTATAAAAGATGCAGAAATGTTATTCCATATAGCTGTTCATTACATCAAGTCTTTATAAAAGACAGGAACATGCCCTGGCCGGTTTGGCTCAGCAGTTGGAGCGTCCACCTGCGGTACAGAGAGACCCGGGTTCGGTTCCCGCTAAGGGCATGTACCTCGGTTGCAGTTTGTCCCCGGTCCTGGTTGGTCGTGCGGGTGGCAGCCACTCGATGTGTCCCTTTACGTCGATGTTTCTCTCTCTCTCTTCCTCTCTCTCCCTCCCGCTCTATCTGAACAAAAAATGGAAAAATGTCCTCGGGTGAGGATAAAAAAAATAAAAAATAAATAAAAGACAGGAACATAATATGAAATCCTGTAGAGAACTGGGATGAGCAGGGGGCCTAAATCCAGTCACCTCGTGTTGACTTGAAGGAGCTCCTGATTATTCCAGTTAAGCAGATAGCCATGCAATTGACAACACAAAGTGGTCTGCTTTAGGACTTGCATAAATGTGGAATTACTTATCCTTAAACTCGCAGAAAATGTAACCCAGATAGGTAACACTTTATAAATATAACAAAAAAAGGGGGGGGGAGAGGGAGAGGAGAAAGGAAAAAATTGGTAAACATTAAAAAATCTGTTTTACCAACTCCAAAAGCAGAGCTCACAGATAAAATAGCAATCATCATCTTAAAATAACAAATAATAACCAGTTACAAA